GTTAGGACGGTTTCATACTCAAAACGACCCTTGTGATTTCTTACTCTGGGTTTTGGGCATTTCATTCCGCTGATTCCAATAATCCGTTGTTCCAGTTGTAGCTACAATGGTGTGGCATAAATATCCTTTTCAACGGAGAACTCCACATATGTAAGGTTCACAAAACGAACTGGTATCTGCCATAACAATACCTTCCACTGGAAATATCTGGAAAGAAAGTTTTTGTCCGCACCCACAGGATGGCACACTGTCGACATCTTGGTACTGTCGAGTTCAGATCACTATCTGCAGGCATTGTTGTTATCACCATTGGAAACAAAGTACTGTCATTTCCAGTCTCGAGGAGAACGCTTACATGATATACGCGAAAACGTCGTATAACGCAACATTAACAACAGAACTTTATCGCAGACCAACAAAAATCCATCATGACTCTCCAGTGCCTTCCAGCATCCAGCAGCGTAGGAATATAGCCACTTGCCATAAAGAAGGCGAATACTTCGTGTTGGAGAGAGTAGTCTAGTCAATCAAAAAGTCTTGCGGAGAATGGCCATTGGCAGTCCCACCTTGGATTCTCGCACACCACATAACCGGTAATCTTACCAAGAAGACAGCAGCCAACAACTCGGCGGTTCGATCAAATGACCATAGCGTATAGATCTGCTTATGTGTTTCAGATACTGCTTCGGGAGCTTCCACCAATGGCTTGGCATAGAGGTGGCATGCTTTAGGAAGTCGTGTATGATGACACCGCTGAATCCGTCGCTTGCGCTCATGGGTCGTTTGAGTTAGCGCCTCAATACCGCCATTTATTTTATACCTGCTCACCATATCCCTTCTCCTGTCTCCTTGTATCATTGGGGTTGTACGGGCCGAAACGTATCAACAGCGACAAAGTGATACCGCACCTCACACAATAAACGCTTTTGCAGAATTCCGAACAGCAGTCGTCTTAACGTTAAGACACCGGATTTTCGTGAAACTACAATATTTGTGCTAAGATTTGACACCAAAAAAACAAAATTGTCATTGGGCAAAAATCCACCGGGAAGGTATTACTGCCCGTGATACGGTTGATGTGAGCGAATACAAACTTTCTCAATGCAGTAAATGAGCAGATATATCGATTTAGTAAGTTTTCGACTCAGCTTAAATATTTCAGTGACATAAGGACAACGTTCTGAATGGTAGGGCGACGTGCTCTTGAAAAAGCTCAGTGTCTGCAGTATGTGGGTCATGACCAAGTCTATTGAACGTGCACTCCACCTTATCACTTTTGTTTAGGTCTTCGCTTATAACTGATACATCTTTCTTAATCCACTAAATTACTTAAACACAATCCTTGTACATTTCCGCCAGGAGGTATCGATTTTTTCATTTGCCACCATAGATTTTTTTTCTTTATGTCAACTTTAAGAGATCGGTTTACAAGTAGTCAACAATTCGGATTGAGCTTGAGCACGATTTATCTCTGTTCGCGCGTACTGTACCGCTTGTTTGACTTGTTCTGGAGAAAAACCTTCTTCATGAAGACGACATGGTTACTTGATAACTGATTAG